TCAGCCTTCTATAATTTTTTCCTTAGGAAGAAAGAATCCAATCGCCAGGGAATTTATTTTCTTAAGATTACACACATGTTTGTCCAACCCAGTCCGTTAAACTAGGAAAACATTTTATAATGTTAGCTACACTGTCGTTCAAAAAGGAACGATTCTTCGAAACTTTTATTAATAATTTCAACTGTTCAGATATACAAATTTTAAGATTTTGATTATTACATTTATAAATAGATATACAAAATACAGATATCAATTTTATTGCAGAATTTATTTTACTAAAAAATATGTAAAAAATATATAACAATATTCATTTACACAAGATTCATTTTCAAGGTTGAATAAGTTAACTTCTTTTTTAACTAAGTCAAATTAAAGTTAACAGCCTTGAAAATTTAACTTAGTTAAGATAAAAGTTAATCCATGACATTAATTGAATTAAAAGTTAAGTTAATGAAAAAAAAATAATCGAAAAATTTAAAAGTTAAATTTGTTTTGTTTCATGATTTTAAGTTAACTTTTTTAACTAACAAGGAGAGACTCACATATGTATTTTATGAATTTTGATCACCTTTTGTGCGATTATTCTGGAGCATCAAAAAATAACCCTTGTAAAGTAGTAAATTGTACTTATGCGTATTTTTCGAGAAAATCGTGATTTTAAGTCACGACGACGGATTGCTTTTAAACCTCTTTATTTTTATTGCTTAAACGTAAATGAAATATTTAAAATTAATACATCTCCGACACGAATGTATATCTAAGCATATAACAATATATGCAAAAGAAGAGCAAAGAACCAGTAATGTAACAAACTTTAATTAAAATTCATATAAAAATTAAAAAACGACTAACAAATGTTTTGACTCCGCTCGAGTCATTTTCAATGTTGCGGAAATATTCAAACATCGCTATAAAAATATCTATGATTGATGAAAAATATCTATTACATTCTTGATATCGTGTAGTGTCTTGCGAATCAGTTATGTCAGAATTCAAAGTAGTCAGAAAAACAATATTCTTGTCAATATCGGTAAAAGTGTTGAGAGTTCATTAATAAAAAAGAGAGAAAACGCAGGTAGAGCCATATCGCACAATGGTTTTTTAAATTGAAGCAAATTTGCAAGACATCGTGGAAGTCAGATGTTCGCTACTCTTGCAAAGAAACTCAACCTTGTTTATTTTATATTTAGATTAACAATATATCTTCCTACAATAATCATTTGAGAATTATTACCTCCTGTATTTTTTAATCAGTAGCTCTTATTAGTACTTTTAATTAGTGCTTCCTTTTATGTATATCACATTACATTTAGCACTTGGCCAATTTTACAAGAAGCTTATTTTTAGTAACGTTATCACCTATAGAACACAGCACATCCTCGATCATTCCATCGATGGATGCTTTGATAATATGCTGTAAACAGAAAGATATTAATAAAATCATATACGTATCGCGTTAATATTAATAATGTAGATCCAATAAATTCACCTCCATTTTCATAGCAACGATAACAAGCAATGAATCGCCCTTCTTTACTACATCTCCCTTATTAATGAAGATCTTGTCAACTGATCCAGGCATTGGGCTTAGAGCCGTGTATGGATTTTGCTCCACCTGGCTCGTAATCGCAGTCACGAATTTGGGAGTGGGACTAATCAGTTGCCATTCACGATCCTATGAATAAAATTAAGTAAAACTATATATAGCACATATATAAATATATCAAACACTATGCAATTAATTAACTACCTTGGTGAATATATATAATTTATTATTAAGTTTCACCGTTCGTGCTTTAATAATAATCCCGTCAATTTCCGCAAACAATTCTAAAGCACCTTCAGTCTTCTTTAAAGTACCAGTTACTTTCCTCCAGGGTCCTAATCTGTTGACTCTCATTAGATATACATCCGGTTCAACATATTTTACCTCCACTATATTATTTTCTTTTTCAACATCGAAAAGAAACGTACGGTTCAACACATGATTTAATCTCAGTCCAGTTTCCACAGCAAACGGAGTAAAAGGATCCTTTGTTTCTAAGGATGTGCTTAATGACTCTATATCCTCATATAGAATTGAAGCGAGAGTTCCTTGTATCAATATTTTGTTAGAGGTATGTAACTTAGGGAATAGTTGTTCAAAGTTCTCCTCAATAAATCCCGTGTGCACTTCGCCACTTTGAAATTTCGGATGTTCACATAGATCTTTAATAAATTGTATGTTGGTGTCCAAGCCAGCGATCTGCAAATATAATTTTTCAAAAATAAATATTTAAATAAGACTTAGTGAATTAAAATTTAAAAAATATTAACAATAAAACTATATATTTTTATCTGCAAGCGACAACCACTGTCGCTTTAACAAATTATTACGTAATATGATTATGCTGTAAATTTTTATTTTTAAATCCATTAAGGATGGCTTAATGTAAGGCTAAATGTTTAGATATAGAATTAGTTTAGATTATAATTCTTTTTCGTAATATATTGTAATTTGTTAAGCATTAACTTTGTGCCTGACTTATTGCTCTTCTTGTGTGACACAAGTTTAAATAATTATCTCAATTAGTATGTAATTATTTTACCTGGCACTGTAACTGTACAATCTACAATGTAATCAGCCTTTACTTGAATTTTCAATTTTTTAATCACGCTACTTACGTTGTACTCACTGAGCTTTGATGTAAGTATATTGAGAGCTTCGCTTCTGTCTTTTCCCCAAATCACTAATTTCGCTATCATCGGGTCGTAATGTACAGATACCTCGTCGTTCTGTCGTACTCCAGTTTCGATTCTGACATTATCCGTTGCTTCAGGAGGCTTTAAGTACAAAAGCTTACCTGCTCCTGGTAAGAAACCATTCCTTGGATTCTGTGATATCATAACAACAATAAATCCATTCAATAATAAATTAAATTGCGCTTATATTACACTTATTTTGTCATGTGAGACATAAATAGATAGACATAATATCATAGCGATTACCTCAGCATAAATTCTTGCTTCGAATGCATGACCGTTAAGTGTAATCTGCTCTTGTTTGAGTGGGAGTACTTCACCATTAGCAACTCTCAATTGCCATTCAACCAGATCCAAACCGGTAATTGCCTCGGTAACGGGATGTTCTACCTGGAGACGTGTATTCATTTCCATAAAGTGGAAACTGTGATTGTTCCGATCCATTATGAATTCTACCGTTCCAGCACCTACATATCCTACAGCTTTAGCTGCACGAACAGCCGCTTCGCCCAGTTCTTTCCTGAGCTGCTGGGAAATGCCAGGCTGTAAAATAGAATCATATGTAATCGTTTTAGTCTCTTCTATTGTTTCATAAATCTCAATAATAAAGATACATACAGCAGGTGCTTCTTCAATCACTTTCTGATGTCTCCTTTGCACAGAACAATCTCTTTCAAACAGAAAAACGGCGTTCCCATGTTTGTCAGCGAAAATCTGTACTTCTACATGCCTAGGTTCGGCGACATATTTTTCCAGAAGCACTGCCGAATCACCGAACGCTTTCTCGGATTCAGTTCTTGCCGATTCCAATGCCTCAATGAAATCAGATTCTTTATGAGCGATTCTCATACCTTTTCCGCCACCACCACGCACGGCCTTGATCATCAACGGAAAGCCAATCTTCCTAGCTTCTGCCAATAAAGTTTCATTCGTCTGATCATCACCGTGATATCCTATAAACATGCAGAATATTAGAAAGATAATTCAATAAAAACGACATACGGTCTTAGTTACTTGACATATATTCTTTTATGTAAGTCTAATTTTTTAGTTATCATACATTATATAAAGTTCTGTTTCATTTATGTTCAACTTATTGTTATATTTATACATATATTATTTAGTTTTGACTGCGTTATTTATATATAGTTATAAAAAACAGAATGTACTTTTTCTTTGATTGACATGTCTTGACGTTTTACACAAGTCTAATTATTTATTTATTATTTATCTCATATGTCCCGTTTTAATTATAATTTTATAATTTAATACAGTTAATTTGGTAATTATTTGGAAAATACGCTTGGATTCCATAACTTCTTACTGCAGCAAAAGACACGGCTACAAATCACTTTATTCGATTTATAATTGTATTATGTTAGGTGTTTACTATCAACTTCTATCTACTTCTTTATTGTTATATTAATTTAAGTTGATTGAAATATTGAGATGGATCCACATTAAACATCAAAACATCTGTATATTTTGTATTAAATAATAAATAATTTGTACGCCGGACATCCAGTGCTTGGCTCGCATAGACATCAATTTTCTTTGAGAAAGATAATTGTTTTAATATATATAGTATAGGATAGAAGAAAACATCTACCTTCTATGATAGGAACTCCAGCTTTAGTCATGATAGCCTTCGAGGTATTCTTTATACCCATATCTCGTATGGCACTGGCTGGAGGACCAATAAATATAATATTCTCCTTCTGACATAACTGTGCAAATTCTGTATTCTCCGAAAGGAATCCGTATCCAGGATGCACAGCTTGACATTTTGCCTGCTTGGCCACTGATATAATCTTGTCTTTTCGCAAGTAACTCTGGCTAGATTGAGCTGGACCGATACAATAAGCTTCATCAGCTTGTTCCACATGCATAGAATTCCTGTCTGCTTCGCTGTAGACAGCCACGGTCCTTATACCAAGTTTCTTGGCAGTTTTTGTTATACGACATGCTATCTCTCCGCGGTTTGCTATCAGAATCTGTTAAAATAGACCTATATTACGATAAGCTCTCTTACGTGATAGTCATTCTAAAAACTGACCTTGTTGATTTTGTTGATCTGCGAAACCGATTGATGTGAATTTCGGACGTATGAGGTTAGCTGACTCCTACGATTACGTTAGTGTACAATTAATACGTGATTTATGAGTAATGAGCACTAAAGAATACTGAGAAGAAAATGCTATATGCTACTTGCCTGTGAAATACAGACTTTAATTTTCCAAAATAATACATAATTTGTATGTTCCAATTCGATGAATACATAATATACAGCAATCTAATAAACGTACTTTTCTAAGTTTATTTATCTTTCCTTTTTGCTTAGTCATTGTCAGTGTTGTCAGCTGTGATAAACGCCATGTGCTTGAATATCATGTGATTATTCTTATCAGTCACCTATGACTTGATGTCCATTTATGAATTATGACTTGACTCTTTGAAGAATATATTTAACAAAAATTCTTGTAAAGATTATAGCAATAAAATTATAACGTTAAAAGAGGTCCAAAGTGTCTCAAAAAGTGTGTTGTATACTAAATTTTTTAAGTCGTCTATTTAATAATAATTTATATTATTATTCAAGGGAAACGATTTTTTCGAATTTATTCAATTTGTCTTTTTCGGCTGTGCTAAAAATTCTCAATTAAGGAAATTTGAAAAAAAAGACGATGAAATATGCTCCAATATCATATTCTCTCACCTCTATGTTTTATTTAAAAAAATAGAGATTTTGGATATTTAGATACAAAGGTAAAGAGGATTATAATGCAGAAACCTGTCTAAATAGGAAGTATAATGGTAAAACAAGATAGGTCGAATAATAAAATATATAAAAAATAGAAAAAAATTATATAATTACTACTATTTGTAGTTCAGCGAATCATTTAAATTAAATCCTTTAATACAAAAATAAAAAAAATATGAGACTAACAATTTGAAATTAATTTTAATCTCGATTAAACTTACTTTTAATCTTTTTCTAATTTTTAGAATTAGAAAAAAAAATAGATTGAACACAGATAAAGTTAATTATACATTTGTCGAATTCAGCCTAATAAAGAAAAAAGTTAACAATATCAACACAGATGTCAATTTGTCATCTCAAAACTAAGATATAAAAATAAAGTAGTTAGGAACTTGTTTCCATAACAATATATATATCTGGAGACGTCGTAGTATGTCGACGCTACAAGTGAAGCGTCGTAGCATAAGACACTACTGTGCTATATATTTACAGTACATATAAAAAAATATCTCCTAATTTTTATAATTTGCTGGTACACAACTGCAATTCCTTCTCTGCAGGAAATGCCGCGAATCGTTTATTTACATATTCATCCGTTACATCGGCCAAGGATGATGGCTTCCATATTGGTTTCTGATCTTTGTCGATTAGAAGAGCTCTGACACCTAGAAATAAAATATTGATCCAAAAATACAACCTGTAAAATGCACCTAAATTTCATCTTATTACCTTCATAGAAATCACCATCTCTGGTTAAAGCGGTACAGGACAATCTATATTCGATCTTTAAACAATCTGCTAAAGATTTTTCTTTTCCTTCATCAATCGCTTTTTTGGTGATTTTGAGAGCAGATGGAGACATTTTAAGCAGTATTTCTATATTCTTTTGTGCCCAGTCCGAATTATCTTTCTTCAGTCTTAATATAAAAAACAAATTATATCCTTTGCTGTATTACAAGTGAAAAAATATTAATTTAACTTTTTAATATCTTTAGCTTACCTTTCAATTATCTCTTCAACGGTTGGAGCAGAAAAACAATTTTCTATCTGTGACATATGAGGTGCCAAGCAGAATTCATGATTTAATTTTTGTTGATACTTATTCAAAATGGGCTCAATGTCGACTTCACGCAACGCAAATAAATCGCGTTTTAAATCTGCGAGTTTCTCCGATGGTACAAAATGCGTTGCAATACCAGCAAGGAAAACATCGAAACCTTCATAAAACATATAATTATAAATATCTGTTTATATATATAGAATTCTCAATACAATTGAAGTTATACCTTTCAATCTTTGTCCTGTTAAACCTAAATATAAACCCAATCTGCCTTTCAATCTGGATAAAAAGTAAGTCGCACCAACATCAGGAAACAATCCTATTGCCGTTTCTGGCATAGCAAAGAGAGTTTTTTCCGTAGCAATTCTATATTTGCCATGTATAGATAATCCAACACCACCTCCCATTGTTATCCCATTGATGATAGCAATATAAGGCTTCTTATATGTTCCAATCAAATGATCTAAACTAAAAACAAAAGAAAAAATCATTTTGCTCATACAAGTAGATAAAAGATATACATTTACTCTTGAACAGATACTTACGTATACTCCATCCTGAAAAATTCTTCGCCCTGTAGATTTCCTGCTGGTTCATTCAATGACAAGACAAGTGTTTTGACGTCACCACCCGCGCAGAACGCTTTCTCACCCATACCTTCTATTATTACCAGTTTCTTTGAAGACTCCCATTGTTTAAGGATAGAATATATTTTTTGAACCATGGACAAATTTATAGAATTCAACGCTTTAGGTCGGTTTAAAACTATTATGCCATTATCCCCAACCTTTTATATATACAAAATAAATGTAATCTTAAATAATTCTGATAAATTAATAGTATTTGATAAAGATAACACATCTTAATTATAATATGCAAACATACTTCTTTTGTAATGACCTCATCCATGTTTATTTGAGCACTGGATGTTTCTTTAATGTTTTTAGGTACTGAAAATTGCAGGATTAGAGATCTATTTATAATGTAAAAAGAGAGAGAGAGACTGATGATATAAACATTAAAAGATATCTCAATAATGATCTAAAATCTAAAAGAATTCTTTTATGATACATTTCAAATTGATATGCTAAGAAGAAAAATATCAGTATATTATAGATAGAATATATTTAATATTTTACAGAAATGTTTGTGTGAAAAAAGAATAAATCAATAATTGCATCAAAGACATAAAAAATGTATCATCACCTGTAACAGATCCTGATGTCATCAACCGTCTAACAGTAACACGTGACACTGTAGCACTAACGCTCGAAGAATATAATTTTTCTGCAAAGCACCGTATCTAAATGAAATAATGACATATTATATTAGTTACCTGCCACGCAAAATTCTAACTTATACGTTAAATCAAAATTACCATGTTTGTAATCTAAATGTTAAGTGTTAAAATAACATAAAATATGTAACTGCTAGTTATCGCTGTTGATATTGCAAAAATACTCTCCGCATTCAGGGTCAACTGTAACAAAAATCTATATATTCTAATATATTCATTTATTGCAGCGATTGATTGGCATAACAATAAATCAGTATGCCATGTGTAGGTGCGTTCGGTAATGTATTGGCCGCAGCACAGACTCTTGCACAATGCATAATACATATAATGCATAAGGGAATTAACCAATCGAAATTCTTCTTTCATGAAATGAGAAGAAAGGAAAGATTCTGATTAGTTAATTCGCTTATGCACTAAACGTTATACGTCATGCAAAAGTCTATGATGCGACCTTAAATCTGAGATGCGAGCTAGCAGATGGCGAGCATGATCACGTGATCTTCGAGCAATATAAGTGCCAAAAATTAATTCCGAACGCTACAGAGCTGTAAACTGTCCTTTAAAGTTAGATTATAAATTGAAATTGTTTATTTTTATAAATAAATAAAAAATATCCTATTAATTGAAAATTTCTTCCGCTTTATTAGAAACTGATAATAGTTTTATATACTAAAAATAGATCGTTATGAATGTAACAGACTTATATGCAAAGTGTGTTTTCTTAAAAGAAAATACTACATTGCAAAATAAATTTCTGTAATTTATAAGTTATATCACTTGATTTATATTCGTTAAAAAGTCTGTAATATATTAATACAGTTTGATTTTATTTCATTTTATATGTGCAACATAAGCTTTGATCTAAAAATTAACTAGCAAATTCTGTGTTTTCAAATACGTAACTTCAAATTCATAAAAAGGAAAAGAATTAAAAACTTACTTTCCTCATTAAATATATATTGTACATAATGTACTCCATCAATTTCTATTTGATAGCATTTGTTTGAGTGTTTGTAGATTCAGACATTATAACAGTTTAAATACACTATTTGTAAAATAGAAGAGATGAATGTACGTTATGTGTTAACGAATCAGTTGGATATATTATCATATACAGATTATGAATTTAATATAGTAATAATCTACATTAGCTCTGCGAGCTCGATCTTTGAATCCGCAGTGGATCGAGCAGCTAGCGATTGGCTTTAGAAATGTTAATATCGAATGCAGATGAGATGACATATAGCAGAAAGATGCGAGTTGCCGAACGATTTTCGAGGTAAAAGAACAAACGGACGCCTCCGGTTTGCAATACCGAACGCACCTTACACATAAAATTTACATGTATGCTGTGTTTCAAATGCACAGCCAGCGCTGAAAATCTACAGTTTACGTGACGTATACTATACTGCCCGTATTCAGCGCACGCTTACAACGATGTAGCGCGTTAACATGCTATAATTTATGTCACGCATACTATAGAATTTTAGAGATAGCGGGGAGCACTCTTGTATAACGCATAACATGTATATAATGCATAAGAAAGTGTACCAATCAAAGTCCTTCGTTTCCTTCCTTTCCATAAAATAAAGAACGTAAGAGAGTCTGTGCGCTCCCCGCTTTATAAATCTTCAGCTACAATGAATTTTAGAACACAGCCTATATCGCGCAATAGCACCAACTCAGAATGTGAATGTTAATGAGTTGGTAAGTATAACTCAGTATAATTTATCTACTTTCTAAAGGATAGATTCCTGCATTATTATCTGCATTATCATTTGTCAAAACCAAAATCATTGGAGGTTATAATTTTTATTTAAAAATGAATGTTTAATGAAAAAATGAAAATAAGAGGAATAATTTCCAGTGGTCTTGATCACGACAAATGTCATCCAGGACATGATCCTGAACAATAAAAAAAAAGGTTTTAGCCGTCGGTCGGACACCTTGCGTAATGCTAATGCCGGCAGTATTTTCAAGTCTTATAATTTAAAAAGTACGCGCGTATTACAATGTTTTGTAAAACAACTTTTTTGACACTAGCTATTAGATTCTGGAATAAAAAATAGGGTGTTCCATTAAAAAAAATCGACGTGAACGAAAAATTTTACTTAAGCCATTTGAAAGTAGAGATTTTACCCTAAAACGCGTCAAGAAAAAAATATCCTGCGATTCCTGGAAGTCGAGATATTAGTTTCTTAAAATTGGTAAAATTTGTCGATTTTAAAGTGCTCCTCTAATTTTTTTGTGTAAAGTGGTTGGTATTTATAGTCCAGCAAGTTTTTAAATTAAATCCTTTAATACAAAAATACAAAAATGTACGAGATTAACCAATTTAAGATTAATTTTAATCTCAATTAAACTTACTTTTAATATTTTTTAATTTTTAAAATTAGAAAAAATAAAAAATAAATTGAATAGATAAAGTTAATTTTACATTTGAAGAATCCAGTCTAGAAAAGAAAAAAATTAACAATGTCAATGATTTTATATAGATCTCAATGTAAAAAAATCAGGATTAAATAAAGTAGTAGAAACTTGTTTTTATAACAATATGTATATATATCCACAGTACATATACAAAAATATTTCGTAATTTTTATAATTTGGTTTCCAACTGCAATTCCTTCTCTGCAGGAAATGCCGCGAATCGTTTATTTACATATTCATCCGTTACATCGGCCAAGGATGATGGCTTCCATATTGGTTTCTGATCTTTGTCGATTAGAAGAGCTCTGACACCTAGAAATAAAATATTGATCCAAAAATACAACCTGTAAAATGCACCTAAATTTCATCTTATTACCTTCATAGAAATCACCATCTCTGGTTAAAGCGGTACAGGACAATCTATATTCGATCTTTAAACAATCTGCTAAAGATTTTTCTTTTCCTTCATCAATCGCTTTTTTGGTGATTTTGAGAGCAGATGGAGACATTTTAAGCAGTATTTCTATATTCTTTTGTGCCCAGTCCGAATTATCTTTCTTCAGTCTTAATATAAAAAACAAATTATATCCTTTGCTGTATTACAAGTGAAAAAATATTAATTTAACTTTTTAATATCTTTAGCTTACCTTTCAATTATCTCTTCAACGGTTGGAGCAGAAAAACAATTTTCTATCTGTGACATATGAGGTGCCAAGCTGAATTCGTGTTTCAATTTTTGGTGATACTTATTTAAAATAGGCTCAATGTCAATTTCGCGCAATGCAAATAAATCGCGTTTTAAATCTGCGAGTTTCTCTGATGGTACAAAATGTGTCGCAATCCCAGCAAAAAAAACATCGGCACCTTCATATTCAAAACATATACTTATAAATGTCTGTTTATGTATATAGAATTCTCAACAGAACCGAAGTTATACCTTTTAATCTGTGTCCTGTTAAACCTAAATATATACCCAGTTTGCCTTTCAATCTGGGCAGAAAGTAAGTCGCACCAACATCAGGACAAAATCCTATTGCCGTTTCCGGCATAGCAAACCGAGTTTTTTCCGTGGCAATTCTGTATTTGCCGTGTATAGATAATCCAACACCACCTCCCATTGTTATCCCATCGATAATAGCAATATAAGGCTTCTTATATGTTCCGATCAAATGATTTAAACTAGAAACAGAAGAAAAAAATCATTTTGCTCACATAAGTAGATAAAGATGCATTTACTCTTGAACAGATACTTACGTATACATTACCCTGCAAAATTCTTCGCCCTGTAGATTTCCTGCTGGTTCATTCAATGACAAGGCAAATACTTTGATATCACCACCCGCGCAAAACGCTTTCTCACCTGTACCTTCTATTATTACCAGTTTCTTTGAAGACTCCCATTGTTTGAGAATAGAATATATTTTTTTAACCATGGACAAATTTATAGAATTCAACGCTTTAGGTCGGTTTAAGACTATTATGCCATTATCCCCAACCTTTTATATACAAAATAATTATAATCTTAAATAATTCTAATAAATTAATGGTATTTAATAAAGAAAAAATATCTTAATCATAATAATATGCAAACATACTTCTTTTGTAATGACCTCATCCATGTTTGTTCGAGTATTGGGTTTTTCTTTAGTGTCTTTAAATACTGAAATTGCAGGATTAAAGATTTATTTATGATTTAGAAAGAGAATAATGATATAAACATTAAAATACATCTTAATAATGATATAAATATTTAAAATCCAAAAGGATTTTTTCAAATTGATATGCTAAGAAGAAAAATATTATAGATAGAAAATATTTAATATTTTACAAAAATATTTGTGTGAAAAAAGAATAAAATTATCAGTAATTGCATCGAAGTAAAAAATGTATCATCACCTGTAATAAATCCTGACGTCGTCAAACATCTAACAGTAGCAGGTGAAATTGTAGCACTGACACTTGAATAATATAATTTTCCTGCAAGGCCTCGTATCTAAAAATAATAATTACATATTATGATATCAGTTACCTGACACGCAAAATTCTAATTTATACAAATTCGAATTAAAATTACCATATTTGTAATCTAAATGCTAATGCTAAGTATGTTAAAATAACATAAAATACGTAATTGCTGGCTATCGCTATTGATATTGGAAAAATACTCTTCGCATTCAAAGTTGACCGTAACAAAAATGTATATATTCTGATATATTTATTTATTACGTCGGCTGATTAGTACTACAATAAGGGTGCATTCTGAATTGGGCATGATGCATCATTTGTTATTCACCTTGTTGTTCACCAAATAATAAGGATAAAACGATACATCATGTGCTTCATGCGTAATTCGGAACGTACTCTAAATCAGTATGCTACGGATACACACACATGTATGGCTGTATTCCAAAATTCACTGCACTGAAAATTTACAGTTTATGTTATATATATACTACAAGGTTCGCTCGACACGATTTGCATTTCACGGCCGATTTTCGATTCGGCTCCACTTATTCTGTAACTCATTAAAATAATAGATATCGCGCAACTTTTTATACTATAAAATATCTTATCGCAACGATGTCGACACTGTCTTAACAAAATACGGACTTTGGCGCCTTATTTCCGCTACTTTTCTGATCTATCACCTTGCGCACAATCCAAATTCGACATTTAGCATATGACGCTCGTAGGCATGAGGTTCATTCGCTTTAGGTATTTACATTGTAAACTTCATTCTATATCTTTTTTTTCGTTTATTATAATATTACAAAACTAAGACAGAACGCACTTAAGATTAAAGCCCTAAACACAATGCGATGGAGGCAACAGCGATAGCGATAGAAATAGCGGTAACAATAGCAATAATGATAAGAATAGAACAATCCAACATACGAAAATGCATTGACATAGGCGTTCCCGTATGTTGGATTTCTCTGTTCCTATCGCTATTTCTATCACTATCATTGTTGCTTCGAATTGTGTTTATGGCTTAATGCGAATAAATAGGTTTAGGCACCATCCATTTTCACCGTAAGCAGCTTGAATTATTTTGTCTCAGCGCTATCTACGTTACACTAGTTTTTTTTTAAGTCGCAAATTTGAGGTTGACAAGTTCTGTGTTTGGTTAACAAATATGTTGTGTAGTGTATATAAGTTTATTAATTTTATAATAGCATTTGAGGCATACGCAACAAAATTACCTTTTTAAAAAAAAGGTAAAAAAAAGACGCCAAGTGTGCGTGTACCTCCCATAAACCCATAAAAAACTTTACTAAACAATAAATACATAAACTCAAAAAAAAATCGTTACATAAATATTATAATTCAAGTGGTAATATTGTTAATTTTTTTATTATAAATTGCCCCTCAATAGTACGTATGCATATATTTAAAAAAAAATGAAATAAAATCTTTAAATTGCGCCAATTGCAAAAAGAATATATATTTTCTTGCAACATATGACATATACTATTGTACTTTGTAAATTGCGAAAAGAACAAACATTTTATTGCAACATATAACATTTAATTAATGAAAAAAAGTGATACTGTTACCTTTCTATTCATGAGTCTTTTATATTTGCAATGGAATACAACATTAAATCTCAAAAAATTGAAGACAAAGCATTACAAAATAAGAAAATTTTATTAAAATAACAAAATTTTTTATGTAAAAAAATTTGGCGCTGCTACTTCTCAAAATATAATAAGTAATGTTACATAAAAAAAATGAACGATATTTACTGTTTAATTAACATTAATTAACATGACAATCACAATTACAATTAAGATTATGTAATTAATTAAAAATCTACTTTGAAATCTAACTTAAACTGCAACTACAAATCTAAAATCATTATCCTATTCTTACTTATATACGCTTTTACAATTTTATATAATGTACATCATATAAATACTTATCCTATATTAAATCTAAGCCGCATATCTATCTGAATTTGCTCGCACATATGAACACGTTGTATATTATTAATTCACTTCATTCTTATCTCTTCATTAATTTTCATATTTGATATTTTTAATCATTTGCTCGTACATACACACATACACTGTACATTGTTAGTCCACCTCATTTTCTTTCTTAAATCTCTTCATTATATTTCTTATTCGGTATTATTTGATGATCATCTTATTATATTTTGAGATCTAGCAGCGCCAAGTTTTTTTGCATAAAAAATTATAATTTGTGAAATTTGGGGGGATTATTAATATTTCAGATTAATTGCGTTGAAAGTCCGATAATCATATCAGCACGCAATTATTATTTCTGAAATTAATTCATTTAAATAAATATATAATAAAAAAAGTCCAACATCTTAACATTCAAACCGTAGTGACACTTCGTATTTAAAGTAATGTATAAAAAATTTTGTTATTTTAATAAAATTTTCTCATTTTGTGATGCTTTTCGTCTTTAATTTTTGTTATTGCTTTTTTTTCCGCTCTAATTCTGCTATTTCTATTTCCACATTATCAACTACAAAATTTTTTAAATCCGCTGTTTCTTCTACAGACAATTCTAGAAAGTATAAATATTCGTACATTATATTAGTAAAGGAAAAATAACTCTAAATAATAATAATAATCGTCAAAGTTAATACAAATAAATCTTCGTATGTCGAATATTATTTTGGGCATTAGATGATAAAACTTATTTCTTTCATTTTAGGTTCTAATGATTTATATATATATATGTGTGTGTGTGTTTATGGCGCTTTTCATCCATTAATTTTTTGAATTATTCATTTTTTAATATATAATAAAAGTAGTTTCCATAATGTCCGTCCAGTTCCTTTCATTTTTTTCAAATTTGTACTATTCAAAGACTCATACGAGCATTCTTCAGTTTGCTGATGCAGTAGTAAAAAAATTCTTATAAATATTCTTATAATTAGTATAACAAATATAAGATCAATAGATTGAAAAAAAAAACAAGCATACAAGATGACGACTGATTAATTTATATTCTATATTCTATTATCCCACTTATATAACGCACGTATGTATGTTTTGGTCTCGACTTAGCTCTCTTCAGCACATACAAAAATTTTTTTCTGAACATTAATTTAATACGAAGGATTTCGTACGATAAAATACAGATGTTACCTGCGTTTTGTTTGTACGTGAGATCTTTCATATTAAACTAATGTTAAAAAAAAAATTTTTATATGTGCTGAGGAAGGCTAAGTCAAGGTCGAAATGTACGTGCGTTATATAAGTAGAATATAGACTAAATTAATCAGTCGTCACTTTGTATGCTCGTTTTTTTTTAAATCTATTGACCTTGTATTTGTTATGCTATTGCTGTACAATCTTACGAGTGTGTGAGAAATTAACAATTTGTACTTCTTATAATATCTCAAAATATTTAGAAAAAGTATCTTAAATGTATGAAGAGTTAGGAAAAAATATTTTAAATTTTTTTCTGAAATCTTCATACATTTAAAATATGATACTTTTTCTAAATATTTTTTTTAGATTTTTTTAAGGTTTTTTTTTTTCAAAAATAATACAAAAATATAATAATACAGAAATTCTAAATAATTCTGAAATTTACAAAAGTATTTTCAAATTATATGTAAAATTTTCAAATTATATGATTCTAAGAAAATTAAAAAAAAAATTTTTATCAGGTAGAGAGAGAGAACTAATTGCCGTCATCTGATTACCATCACGAGATTAGAGAGAATGGGAATGAGAAATGGAAATGAGAAAAGAAGCAGAAATAACAGCAACAGCAGGAACAGATACAGTTGCTGAGCACGAACTTTTTGAACTCTTCGAACACGACCCTTTAAACATTTTTTAGACTTTTTTATCACGAGACATGACATATATCACCGACGAGATACTATTAAAGACCGATATCCTTATGGAAGTTCGCGTCCTTGTGAATATTGAAGTAATAAAAGTTAAAAACTGACAATATTGTACTAATTTTATGATTTATTAGTTTAGTAGGCGTCTGTATGCATTTAGAACTCAATAATACTTGATTTTTCTTTAAAATTATGATTTCACTGTTATCGTCAAAGTTTTATTATCAACAGAGATGATAACTGTAGAGAAAAAATTGTAATTTTACTGCAATATATAAGATATTATAGCTTTACAGTACGCATATTTATTTATGGAACATTTATGTAATAAAAAATGAATTTAATAATGTATAAGCCAAATATTTATGTTAATAATAGCAAATTTGTATCAATTGTCGATAATATCAGCGTTCTTCAATTACCTCCGGGTCCTTTTTATCCGCCGAAAATTTGCCCAGTGTTGATCTTTAATAGTATCTTGTTGGTGCCTAGTGTACTAGACATTTTGCCACCAGGTGTCAGTACGTATTAAATTTTCGTCGCGGCAACACTGTATCACTGTAATCATTGCATGTCATCACCGGTCATACTAGGTAATTGTCTCTAATTGAAAATTTGCATTATTACTAATCGGAGATTTATGAAGATGCTAATCTGTATCTAATCAACATACCATTTTGTATTGCGATCTGATTTCGAAACGACGAAAATTTCACGAAGGCGATTGAACTTTATTGTATTTCATTCTACTTTCATTTGAATCTTCTTCTATTTTGAAAATGATTACTTTTAAAAGTTGTCTTTAGTTGTCTTATCAAAATTAATTGATTCTAGATGATCGCGAAAAGACGAGATTTCTTGGAAGGCACTGATTGTTAAATTCGAAGATGCGATCGATGATTATCGCTTCACCATGGCAGATTCTCCTGGGAGAATATTCGTGAGATGTGGACGTTGTATTATTTCGCGATCAAATTCGATGAGAGTCGAGACTGCGGAATGTTGGAGCAGTCGACAGCTGTTTATCCCAATGCGGCGTTTAATTCGATCGGCACCTAGTAATACCGTCAATTTGATTCCTTTGAGTTAGTCCAATGGTCGTGTAAATCCCCGGCGAGCAACCCCTGTCACTCGAGTCGATCCCGTTAATTTGCGGAGAACACACGAAAATTACCAATACTGCTCTTGCAAACAGAAGACGAGAAGTCTTTAGTGCTGTAGATCAAGGCTCTTCGGTCTGAATGACAAATTAGGAATCGTCGAAATTATTCAAGCTCCGTCCGAATGAATTCAATTCCAGGATATTTATCCAGGACATCGGCAAAATGTTTAGTCTAATTAATCTGCAAAATGGCGTAAGTATCTTGAAAAGTGTTCTGTTACAAAAATAATATCATTTCAATTGATTATATATATTTCGTGTTTTTAGTTTCGTGAAAATAGTATTATGATGGTTAACTTTGATTTTTTTTCCATTTTTTATCACCGACCCAGACAGCACACAATGTTTATAAAATATTTACAAAATATTTATAAGGCTTATTTTAAATATTTTGTAAATATTTTTGCGGTCTTAGATTGCATAGATCACAAACATCTCTTATAAATATTATGAAATATTTATTGTAAATCTTGTAGTAAATGCTATGTAAATACTTAATAAGACATTATGATTCGAATAAGAAATACTTAACAGAAATATTTATTTATATTTATCATAATAAATTACATTAAATATTTAGTCTATTTTTTAATAATATCTCAAATAAAAGTTTTATAAAAAATATATAAAATTTATATAACATTTCAAAAAATGAATAATAATAAATATTTATCATAAATATTCTGTGCTGGCTGGTCGACGTCTGTCAACGATCCACTCAGAGGAATCGAGTAAGATCGATTTCAAATTAATCGAACGAGTCTTTGTTATAAAATCGTGATTTTTCAGAGGATACCCCGATTCCGCGCGCAACCGAGGCGGAATCGAGCCTTCACGCGTAATCACGCATTATCGCACGCATGTTTACATTTACGGGCGCGTGCACGTTTGCGCTTTCGCGCGCGCACATAAAGGACCACCAACGCACGCGGAAATCCGGATTTACTTGCACATAGGCAGCTCGCCCGCACACGCATGCGAGAGGTGCATCAGGGGGATTTCATATAGCCGGTGCCAGATTGATTTGGTTTACCTAAACCGCTATCCCGTTCTCCTCCCGCTGAAAATCAGAGAGAGAGAAAGAGAGAGAGAGAGGGGGGGGTGGAGAGGAGGGTACCGGTGGATACCGTCCTGGATTTTCCGCCGGCAAGTCGCGGCGAGGAAGGGTGTTTACTCAAGACACGACAATTCATTACGTAATTGAATTGAATGAGCCCTCTCCTTTGCTCCGCATCGCCCATCCCCTTCCGAAGCGTTTGGCTCGAACGTGTACGCGTGCGAATGCTCAGGCACGCGTGTGCGTGCATGGTCTATGCGAGTCGAGGGGTGGACCGAGATTCAGAGGTGGATTAAAGACCGGAAGGGGCCCCGGAAGCCGACGTAAGTCAGCAAGTCTTTTGGGTAGGTGAGATTCTCAAAGCTGTCCGAAGATGTTCTTTCAATTTACGTCGAATAGCAAGATTATCGATACAACAGAAACTACTGTAGAAAAAAGTTCTTTGAAATCCGTTAGGCGAATAAATAATTAATTTTTAAGTCATTGTTTAGCAGCTAGCAATAAAACAGTTCCAAGAAATACATTGATTGGACTGAAAATGTCAGTGATGTTTAAATTACAAATATATTTTCTCGTTTTTACTTATCCACAATAGAAGTTGACTGTTCTAGATAATACATTTAATTTAATCTTAATCGCGATCAAACATTGAGATGTAAATTAAAGAGGTTACAATAATTCAATTTTTTTTTTTTTTAGAAATCCCGTTAATATATATTTTGCTTCGAAATGCGATCGTCTCGAATGATGCCGCGCGAGATTTCGCTACGTCCCTGATGAGACATTGTAACCACCCCCGTTCGTCGCCGGCGTCTACACTCCTCTTCTCCGAGGCCGGGGAGATCCGAAGGCCTGGGACCGACCGGAGGGGCTCGTAGCGAGAGCGACCGAATTAAACGATTAGTTAAACTGATTTCGAGTTAGGCGAATGAATAAGTAATCGGATTTCTCGTTAAGGTAATCGCATTGCGCTCTGATTGGCTCCGTCTGCCTGCGTTATAGGCCGCACTCCCGGCATTTTGCCCCTCTCTTCGTCCCGTCCACCCTCGTCCACGTCGTTGTACCGTTCTCTCTCCCTCCCCTCATTCCCTCTGCTGAAAGAGCGAAGAGAGGGTGTTCTCTCATCGTTTGCACGGGGGTGTCCTCGCGCGTTCCCATTGTCGCCGTCTCATCTCCCAGAAATTGAGAAGCGCGAATATTTCGAGTAATGTACACACTCGACTTTTACACTTATATTCCCGTTATCTCATTGTTTATCGCGCGCTATTAGTATAATTGTTTAATTAGGCATGACCGATATAAAAAAATGCTTTGAAATTTCGATAATTTAAAAAAGCATTCTTTGAGAAATTTCGTGTTTATTGAAGCATCTTTTCTAATATCCTATTAATTCTTTTGTTTTATTTTATTTGATCTTTCTTTGATTTCAAATATTTATCAAAGATTCATGCTCTTCTTCTTGATCATAGATTAAGACCGTGATATCTCTGTAAAAAAGTTAAGAAGGTTCTCGCGTTTGATGAAATATAAGACAACTTTATAATATACATGTAATACAAAAGTCAATAATATCTAGAAAAAGTTTCATTGACGTTTTCCGTATCATTTTGAAAATATTTAATTCTATAGAAATTTAATTCTATAGAAATTAAAGAATTTATAGAATTTTACATTATAAGTTGAAGGTATAACCTTATTTTGTAATTATTCTCTTTTATATTGAGACACTTGCATATAAGACAATTACAAAATTGTTATAATTATAAAGTAAACACTTAAGTGTGTTTGTTCTCGTAAAGTTTCATTTAAACTAATCGTGCAGTTTACATCAAATGAGTATCTTACAACTTTTATTTTATTATTTCGAAAATTAGTAACATATAATTAACAATAATTATGTATAATGGCATAAGGTATCGTTAGTAATCTTTTTATTCCATTATTTTAATTGTTTTACATATTATTATGAGTAAATTATGTATTGGCTAGGAAGTAGCGCGAGAATCTCCTTAAGAATAGAAAATTGACGATATGTTTCAAGTTCTAAATTGCCTTCTACTTGCACTTCATGAGCAGACATTCATTCTCCCTTTCCGTCCGTCCATATCTCCGTAAAACGGACTGATAAGGTGAAGTCTGCTATAGTATAGCCCCAGCAATTACATTCCCTGAACGCAATCGCATTTAAATATTGCCGAGTTTGGCGGCGACAAACACGGGGTACATATCCCAGGGTCGCATTCATTTGGTGCGGGGAGAGATTTGCGGCGTACCGATGTTGCTCGCGAGAGAGGACAACTTCCGTAGATTTAATGTTGCCTTAAATGATGCAGATTTAGCGTTATCCGGAAGGCAGCAGATATTGGATGTCTTCTTCGGTCGAGAATCGCGCAACAAACACGATGTACTTTATCGAAGGCGATAAATCGTGTCTGAAAAATTGAGATTGGCAAGAACGAAATCGAGTTTACGGACGTCCGACCGATGTACATCAACCTGACGGTCCTGAGAGTTCACTTACGCATCGTCGAAAAGGAAGATAAAGAGAGAACAAAGGGAAGAAGAAAACGAAGGTGTATTACTAGAGAAGAGAAGTGGATATTGAAACGGAGAAATATACAGGAACTGAGAGAATGTGGCAGCATGTGACAGAAGAGATGCACTTGTCACGAGTAACATGCAGGGCCGCTTTATCTGCATCGTGATTTCTTTTAGATTCATTTCTGCCTGAAGATTTCTACTTCAGATTCTCTATATATTGTATATATGTATTTTTTATTTTTTTTTATTTTTACTTTATTAGCGAAAGCAATTACAAGTGGTGTTTTTCGTAAAATTAATTTTATTTTTTTTAATATTGAAAAATAAAAAATTGAGGATCCTGGACAACATTCTATGAAAACATAATCAGTATTATTTTTAATGTTAAAGCAGTAAGATTAATTTTAACTGTCACACATGTGCGGCGTCTTGTAGATTCTTTACATATTCAACGTAAATATCTAAAAGGAACATAAATATCTAAAAAAATTACATCGAAAGATATAAAGTGAACAGGAAACGATTTATAAAACAGAATTTTATAATCGGATTACACATACACACGCAATTCGTGTCTACGTTATCGATGATTTATCGCGAGAAGAAGATAACGTGTTCAAAATTCCCGAGTTCATTCGTAAAATAACTCTCTCTTTTCAGACACGGAGCAGAAAGTCGACGATCCGACGACCGATAACGAGGCCAGACAAAAAGGAGGAGCTTCGACCGCGGAAAGCATGGGATTAATTACCGCGTGCCCGCGGCGGCGGCGGCGGCAGCGGCCTGTTTCTGCCTCCAGGTAAATACAGCGGCCCTGGCGCGGTCATACGGGGCGCGGAGAAGAACGCGGGGGTTGATAGTAGGATGGTCGCCGAGCGGCGTCCTACACTCCTACCCTCCCCCCCCCCCTCCAGCCGACGACGAGGGCCGAGGGGTAGTTTCGCCGCGAGCGTTTCCGCGGCGGGCGGAAAAGCGGGCACAAATGCTAATGAGCGTTGGTTTGAGGGGGTAGATCGTGCCTGCCTCCTGGAAGGGGACGAGGGGCTACGAGCCCCGGATCGTGTCTCGATTGAAACGAGAAGGAGGGAGAATCACCACGGGGCGGTTCCATCACGCCCATCCGCATGCGGATTGGCCGGCGGCCGAATGGCGTCCTGGAGGACGCGTGGCGTCGGGACGTCGACGTCGGGATGTGCCTCCCGTCGACGTGTCTCCCCGTCGACGGATCTCTCGCGACGGCGACGGCGACGGCGGCGGCGAGTGCCGTCGGTGCCGAGGCGCGACGTCGCGCGCGAGAGTTGCCCCGATAACCGTGAGGATGGAGCAGCTCGCCCAGTTCGTCTCCAAGAGCTTCGACAACGCGGCGGCCGCGGTGGCGGCTGCGACGAGCGTCGAGGCTG